CAGGGGAGCTGTTCTCGGGAGGCCCGTGTCTTCTTCCACACTGTCCCCCCCTCACTGGGATGCTCGGAGCAGCGCCCGCTCAGAGGGTCTCACACACGCCTCCAGGAAACCACGCAAATACCTGGTCCCTCAGGCCCGGCGGGGTCAGCAGAGGATGAATTAATGACTCTCCAGTGGCCTGAGGGTTGAATAACTATTCAACATGACTTCACTAATGTGCATCCATCCCGTTGATGACCTACATACGTATATTTTCCCCCTTGGAGTTCTGTTGTCTGCAGCTAATTCCAACCAGCATGTTTCCTCCAGAGCTTAAGAACAAACTTGTCTTTGTCTGGGATGTTAATTTCTTCCCATTTATGTACTCTTATATCTCATTGTTGTCAGTCACCTTTTGCAAGGGGGAAAAAACATAATAATAAGAAAATATAATGTGTCAAAGCTCCAATTTTAGCATTGATTTTGGAGGGCATAATTTAGTGACAATTCCAAATCATGGTCAAACCCATGGAGGAAAAATGGTTTTAATAGTCCAGTACCGATGCATCAACATATGCAAATTGATCAATGTGATACACCATGTTAACAAAGTAAAGGATACACATCAGACAATCATAGCAAAAGATGCAGAAAAAGCATTTGATAAGATACAACATCCATTTGTGATTAAGCACTTAGATAATCCAATACTATCTGAACTGCAAAATATGCAATATATATTAGTAAAAACATAAACTGGCAAAACGAAATAGTCAGTAGACATCAGAACAATAATACCGTCATTTCATTTCGTGACATTGTAGACAAATGCCCTCTAGTCTTAGGAACATCGGATACCGAAAACTGTATTTTCTAATATGTTTATTTAATTTCATCTTTATTGTCCTAAAACACCCCCCTCCCCGCATACACACACGCACACACACACACACACTCACCACCACCACACTTTTATAAAGTATGCTTTTTGAAAGGGAAACTTTCAATATGATATGTGTAGTTAACAGGTATTTAAATCCATGTGGTTTCATTTAATGATTCATTGAAAAAAATTTTTTTTTCCTCACCCGAGGACACTTTTGCATTTATCTTCAGACAGAGTGGGAAGGAGAGAAGGAGGAGGAGAGAGAGAGACATTGATGTGAGAGAGAGATATCGCTTGGCTGCCCACACAACCCCAACTGGGGTCAGAGACAAACTGCAACCGAGGTACGGGCCCTTGGCAGGAACCGAACCCAGGACCCTCTGGTCCAGGGGCTGATGCTCTAACCACTGAGCAAAACTGGCCAGGGCTGATTCATTGAAATTTAACTCACGTAAATATACTAGGTAACGCTGTAAGTTGCCTGCTAGCCTTTAAAAAAAATTTAAAGATTTTTTTTTATTTTTTAAAATCACAGTTTACATTCAGTATTATTGTCTTCATTTCAGGTACACAGCATCGTGATTAGACAATCATATATTTTGCAAAGTGTCCCCTGATCATTCCAGTGCCCGCCTGACTCCACACCTAGTCATTGCAATACTACTGACTGTATCCCTAGGCTGTACTTCCCACCCTGTGAGTGTTCTGTTGACACCAGTCTGACTTCTGAATCCCTGGCCTTTGTCTCCCCCCTCCTTCTGGCCACCACCGGCCTGTCCTCAGTGTCCGAGTCCATTTCTGTTCTGTCTGTACGTTTATATTCCTGCCACTCTCTAGAGGCCTTTCAATAAGCACCGAGTTTTGACGACCCCAAGGAAAGAAGACCGAGGTTTGGTTTAGGTGTTGAAATCCTGGTGCACCAGCCCGGCTTGAGTCACTCTGAATGTCATGTAATTTTACAACGTCTATTCCTTTTGCTGCCATGCTTTATTTTTCTCAAAAAAAAAAGAAGTGTGCCATTCATAATGAAGAATAACCTCTAAATCTTTGAATAGAGATCACAGACATTAGCTGAAAATGGAGAGGAATACTGTTGAGTGAAAAGGTGAGTTAGGGGAAGAACCACAGGCACCCGCCGAGCATAGGTGGCCGGCGTGAAGTTGCTATAGAGAGAGTCATCCCTCCTGGGTGTCTCTGTTTGGTGCTGTGCCTCGTCAGTCTGTGTCACTGTGTTGTCAGCACGGGGAAACAGGGCGCAGGGACAGGCATAGCTCGTGTTATTGCTCTCTGCCTGCTTGTGCTTCACAGGCGTGATGTTTGTACACGTGGAGGACAAGACTGTCCACCCACAAAAAGATTGCTTCATGGCAACGCTCGCTTTATTGTGATCTGGAACTGAACCCACCATGTCTCCGAGGTAGGCCTGTATCATTTCCTATCCAGTGAGTGAACAGAGCGGCTGATACATTGTTAAATCATTTACATGGCATAGAAGCAGAGCTACTTTAAAAAAAAATTTTTTTTTTTCTTAGAGAGGAAGGGAGAGGGAGAGAGACAGAGACATTGATGACAGAGAATGTCCGTTGGCCGCCTCCTGCATGCCCTCCACTGGGGATCAGGCCCACAACCTGGCCATGTGCTCTGACCCGGAATCAAACAAGTGACCTCTTGATGCAGGGCCGATGCTCAGCCGCTGAGCCACACCAGCCAGGGGAAGCAGAGTTACTTTAAAGTCACTTTGAAAACCAGGTAAGTCACTTTTTTTTCCTTTAACAAAATAACTCTTTTGCTCTTGCCTTGATACTTAAATCCAAAATAAAATAAAATAAAATAAAATAAAATAAAACAAAGAGTATGTGTAGGTGCTGTGTACTTTGCCTTGATACTTAAATCTCTAATAAAACAAAATAAAATAAAATACAACAAAGAGTAGGTGTAGGTGCTGTGTGCTTTGCCTTGATACTTAAATCCCAAATAAAACAAAATAAAATAAAACAAAACAAAATGTAAAGCAGGCATATGTGCTGTGTGACCAGGGCTCTGGTTCCCTTTCTCTGGTAGTGTCTCAGTTTCCCCCTTTGAGTCCAGGAGTTGGTTTCAGCCTCCTTGCAAGCCACGAAGTCAGCCTGTTACAGCGTCACGGATCCTGGAAAAAGACATGAGATCCCTGGGTCAGAAACAAGGAAGTCGATTACTCAGGGCACAGCAGGAGCATGATCATCAGCATGTCTGCATCGCTGGACCTTGGGTCACCCACCACAGGACAGGTGACACGATGCAGGAGGATGTTGTACACACAGTGGGACTGCGTAACGCTTAGCGCAGGGGGAGAGGCAGGACCTGCCGGAGGCGGGACAGGAGCAGCTGGGGCAGGAGGCCCGCCCAGAGCGGGCAGCAGTTTCGGGGCCGTGGGGAACAGCATGGAGGGCTACACAGGGGCGCGGCCGTCGCACGTCCCCTTGCCAAGAGCTTCCCCGTTGCGGGGGCAGGGAGTGGACTGAGGAGCAGAGGAGACCCGGGGCAGTGGAAAGGACACATGTAACAAGTTCTCTTGCTTTTCATTTGTTCTTTGAGTTCATGTTTTAGGCTGTCGCTTGTAAACGTCTTTTCCTGCTTTTAAAGGAGATTTGAGAAAGTCAGTTCACCTTTCTGAAGAGAATCAAGCTGCAGAGTTGGGCCTCAAGACCTTCAAAGGGGCTCCTCCAGTGCCCCCCAGTGGTCTCGGGTTGCATCCTCCTCATCCTCATAGGACATGAAAACCGGTCAGTAAATTCACCTGGGGGCGGGCTGTGTGCCGCTCTCTGCAAAGCGCTTCCTGCTGTGGAACTGGGCAGTGTTGACGTCACTTGTGACTGCTGCCAATGCCACACGGGACACTAACTAACTCTCCCAGGCTCCATATCTCAGTATGTCTCCATGTGGACGAATGTTATGGAAAATAAAAGTACTGTGGGAAAGTAAAAATGCTCCATTTGTATAATCGTGGTAGATTTAAAACACGAGAATATCTTGGACCACATATGAAATCAGCATCCACATCGGGCCACCCAGAATCAGTACCTGTGAGGACAGACGGAAACTAGGAAGCCTGTCGGTGGCTGCTGTCGGGCTGCTGCGGTTCCATTCGGTCCAGGAGGGAAGAGAGTGAAACACGTATTTACATTTCACATACTACTCTGCTCTGTGCTAGGAGCAGTTAGGAGTGCGGTTCGGGAGGAAATCCTCCGGTCTCTTCTACACATCATGTAGAGATAATAGAGTTCCGAAGACTACTTTTCAGAATAGGGTTTTTTGTTTTCATTTATTTTTATTAAAAAAAAATGTTTTTTCTTTATTGATTTTAGAGAGAGAGGGAGGGAGAGAGAGATAGAAACATCGATGAGAAAGAACATCGATCTGCCACCTCCTGCACGCCCCCACTGGGGATCAGGCCCATAACCTGGGCATGTGTCCTGACTGGGAATTGAACCCGTGACCCCTTAGTGCCATGGGTCGGTGCACAATCACTATGCCACACCAGCAGGGCTGTTTTTTTGTTTTTAAATAGATGTTCTGCCCTTTTATGTCCTCTTCTTGTGGAATTAGGTGCGCAGGCTGCATACAGTTAAGTTTAGAAAAATAATGATTAAACCCAGTTTAGCTCCTTTTGTCTTGTCAGTGTCATCAGCGAGGTGCTTCTCACAACACTCACTGGAGACCGGGTCCTCCAAGTAGTTGAGCGCTCAGCTCCCATGTGAGGCTGGCGATCATTCCAGGCCTGGAGGCCTTCACGTGCCCTCTGCTATTTATAGAACGATTAAATGCACGTTTTGCCGCGGTTGCTTCCTTTGCTGGGATTGCATCCGTTTGCGCTGGAGACCTGTGGCTCCACGCCCCATCTTGTTCCAAATGGGGACTGTCTCCGTGCGAGGCTCTCTCCCCTCCCTGAAGGTGGGCTGAGCGAAGGCGCGTGACGCAAGAGTGGGCTGTGTCCCCGCGGCTGGCGCTGGGTCTGGGTGACCGGCCCATTAGCGCGGCCGCAGCGCAGGCTCCGCGCGTCCTGCCCGGTCCGCTCCTCGCAGGCGCTGGGCGAGCGTGCGTCTCCCGCCCGGTTCGCCTCCTTCCCGCCCCGCCTGCGACCCGCCCGCAGGAGAGGATGGGCACCGGGGATTTCATCTGCATTTCCATGACCGGAGGGGCGCCGTGGGGGTTCAGACTGCAGGGGGGCAAGGAGCAGAAGCAGCCCCTACAAGTGGCCAAGGTAGGATCCGGGAAGGTGCGGCGGGCGCGGGGGAGGGAGGGCGGGGAGCAACCTGTTGAGGGAGTTGCCCGAATGGGGTGCTGTCGGAATGGTTAGGACGCTGGGTTGGTTGGTTTGTTTCAAGAAAACTTGGGAGAAAACCAGAGAGCAGATACGTAACTAAATGTGTCCTGGGTATCAGCTGAAGGAGAGCCGAGTTGACCAGCCTCACTGCCAGCCAGGACGCCTGGTCTTGCAGGGAACGTTAGAAATTGCCCCCGAGTCACTGTTTCAGGCCAGTTTGCGTGGCTCAGCGGGGCAGAAGCGCTCAGCTCCGCACAACGCCGGGCCAGTTCCTGGACTCAGGGCTGTTGGACTGACACTGATTGTGCAGCATTCATGAAGAGGCCAACTTGGGGCAATGATTTTTAAAGTATGGCGATGTCATAAAATCTGTTTGAAAGAAATTTTCACTTAGAGAGTTGACAAATAAATGCAAAAATCCGGGTACTGTGTTCCGTTCCGGGGATCTCATCTGCTCCAGTGCTCAGAATACCTTCCAAGACGGTCAGATGTAGTTTCAGTAACTTGGAGATAGCTTTGAAATGCATCTAATAATGCGTTTAAGTGTTCTTGATGTTTGTATTGTCACTAGATTGCTTGCTTCTTAGCTTCATATGCTACCAGTTTGCTTTGAGGGGAGGTGCTTATTGTCCAATTGGGATCCGGCCGAAATAAAATTTAAAATGCGTGAAAATAAGCTGACTGTTATCTGACGTTAGTGCTAAATTGTGGTATTGTACGAAAGAACGTGCGTTTGGTTCATTTCCTGTTGCAAACCTATCGTAAAAATGGATCTGAATGTTTATGAAATATAGGGACTGCTGGCCTTGGTGGCCATTCTTCATCCTTGGCTTTTATTTGTTTTAAATGTTCGCTGTGGGGGAAAAGGAGTTTCTCTGAAACGTTCTCTCCGGGGCTTCCATCAGAAAATCCTCCGTGTGGCGGGGGAATCCTGCCACCTAGCGGAGCTTCAGACTCCAAGAGGGAAGCAAAAAACAGGAGATAACAGCGGGGTGTTTAGAACCCGATGGCTTCTCAGAGATCTCCAGATTCGCCCACACTTTAGGTGAGGAAAGGACCCAGCGAGGCCAGGCAGCTGGCTGCAGGACTGTGGTTGGAGCTGGCGGGAGAGTGGGGGGCACAGAGGTGGGTCTGTTGTATCTCTAGGAGGCAGCGGCCGGCAGCATCGGACAGGACCTTGGTGCCTCGTTTAGTGACTAGAATTCAGGAGCCCGGTTTGTTCTGGGTCTAGGTTAGCAGTTGGCTGGACAGGACATTGGTGCCTCGTTTAGTGACTAGAATTCAGGAGCCTGGTTTGTTCTGGGTCTAGATTAGCAGTTGGCTGTCTCCCAGGACTGAGATCTGGGGTCTAATTCCAGCTCTGATCCAACTTGCAACCGGGCCTAAGACAAGTCTCTTGCCCTTTCTGACTCAGTGTGTGTGTGTGTGTGTGTGTGTGAGGGGGGGGAGAGGCTGTAGTCCAGTTTTTAGCATATGTAAAAAGAGACTGGAGGGACTTCCAAAGAAGATATAAATTCTCAATTACTATGCCAATCCCACATTTTATAAATCTACCTTGTCTGTTTTTCCTAATTCAAACTTACTGTGTTTGGCTCCTTACACTAGCATTACTTGCTGTAGAAAACCCCGGAGCAGGGTGTGTTATTGTCTGTTTTCAAGGCCGTGGCCTCCCTGAGGTCACTGTTGTTCGCTTAAAACTCGGAGTCAACCTGGTTGCATGAGCAGTTTCTCCCGAGTTCAAGGTGAAAGGAAGGTTGCTCGGGCCCAGGCTTGCTCCTGTCCCTGAACTGGCAGTAACTTACCAGGGCCTGGTTACCTCGATGCAGAGGGGACACAGGAAGGCTGGCGAGGCATGGTTGCTGGCAAGCAAAATACTCATGGTTTTGAAGAACATGCAAACAGTTGATTAGAGAATTGAAGAAAAAAAATGTATTTCCAAAGAAAATTTTAGACAGAGCTTGAATCATGCCCCTTAAAATGGGAAGGCTACCCAGCAGTTCTGTAGGTAACAGCACAGTTTGGGCTTGTAAATACCTAGTGTTTAGATTTCCATAATTCTGCACAGAATGAAAATCTAACAAGCTGAAATAGCAAAAGAAAAACGAGTCTAATGTTATTATAAATGATTAGAAATGGAATAGTTTTATAAGACCCAATAAACATCTTTCTGGTGACATGCCTAGTGACTTTGGGAAGATGTCCAAACGTTTTAGTATTCGGCCGGCTGACTGACCGTAGGCAAACCCCTGGACAGCAATATTAATAATCATAGCTTTTCCTCAACATTGAAACTCAAGGCCACAAGATTCTGTTTTGTTTTCAAGAACAAATTGAATTTTGAAAAGGCCCAACTAATCAGTAATGTCACTCTGGTTTTTAACTGTTTATACATCTTTTCACTTGTGTCCTGAATACATGTGATGGGAAGGAAATATCTCCAGGGCAGAGTCATAAGACAGTGCTCTGCAAAGTATTCCTCCAAGAGACCGTCCGCAGAAACAAACGTACCCAGACGTGATCACAACAGAAAACTCCACTTGTGTGTCAGATGTCCTTATGAAAAGGATACTAGCATTTTTACTTTACAAACTCTCTTTTTGGGAACATGTACTTACATGGCTATGTCCTTGGACGTGCTCTTGGCAAATCTGTCTGAAAAATGTTCACATAAAGAAGCGGGGAGAAATTTCTGTGTTGCAAACAAATCTTCTGAACAGTTCAGACAAAACTCGTGTTTTGAAAATAGTGACTAAAGAAATGTTTCGACTGTTTCTCCTTTACATGTTTTAACGTGTAGAAATGTAAGCTTTCCGCCAACGTCATAGACCACTGTGGTTCTTATTCTTCGATTACATTTTAATTCATAGCTTCAAATACCCATTTCTTAAAATCGAAGTAACAAACTGTGGTCACCCGTAGCACGGGGCAGAAGTCGACCTAATGATTCTTATCTGTGGCTGCCTAGTCTCTCTTAAAAACGCTGAATAAAATCATGTTATTTAGGCAAAGCACATTCAAATAACACAATTCCTACCCCTTAGTGCCATCAGGGAGGTTTCTAAATGTTTCAAATAAAGTAATTCCAGAAACATTTTCTGAAGGGGAAAGATTTTAACGTGTCGAATGTGTCTGTTTGAGGATGGATGCTCCTTACTACACATGGAAAGCAGCCACACCCTTATGAGAAAATAGGACAGATCACTTAATTTCGTATTGATCTTTGGGGACTAACTGTCTAGGAACCCCGGAAACAGGTGTGCTGGCAGAAGTCGTGCACACGGGCTAGATCGGTTAAGCGTGTTATAGGAAGCCTTGCCTTGGAGTTGCAGTTCTAGGGCAGCTCACGGGACAGACGGAGGGATGCAGCGATGACTGTCTGTACTTTGCCATTATCTGGACAGCACACATGCAGCTTCCTTGATCAGGCCCCTGGGAATGTCCCAAGTTCTTTGCAGGTATTGTCTCTTCAAATGATCCCCTAGACCTAAGAAGTTCTATGAAAAACACCCTCGTTTTAGAGATGAGGGGATCAAGGCACAGAGATGCTGTTACCGGCCACAGGTTATAAAACGTGGCGGATTTCCCTACAGGCTGACCTCTCCTTCTGTGTTGGTAGAAACAGGTATCCAGAGGATGAAGGCAGGCTAAGGTGGTCCCCCAAAGGGGATTTACAGTCACCCCCCCCCCAAGAGTCCGAAGATCACTGACAGGTGGTCAGGATTGGAAGCTCTGCTGTAGAAAGTGGAGGTCACGTGTGTCCCTGAAGGGCTTTGTGGTGGTGGGTGGCACTTCCCCAGGGCGGACAAGGGGAGGACCAGAGACAGGCGACAATCGGCCAGTCCTCGGCACGTGAGCAGGTCTTCGTGAATGCTGGGAGGACTGTCCCTTTCCGAAGCCAAGATGGGTGGGCCATGGAGGGGTCAGGGGTGGAGGGGAGCTGCTGGGATACTCAGAAATGATCGTTGTAGAGTGTGGGGTGCTGCAGGCGGGGAGCTTGGCAGTTTGTTTCCTGGGGGATGTCCTCTGTGTCAGGGCAGTTACTGGCCTGCCTAGTGCCCATGTGAACAGGGATGGGGAGGGGGCAGCATAAAACTGGAAAAGATACAGGGGGAGGCAGAGAAGAGAGAGACAGAGTCAGACAGAGAGAACGGACAGCACCCTGCCCATTCGGGAAGGCAGGGATCCTTGCGTTTCCTTGGATGAAGGACTGTCCCAGAAAGCGGCTGGCCTTGAGCCTCATGCCAGGACCTACCCCCCAGGCCACGCTCTTAGCCAGGCGCTGGCAGGAGGGAGCTGGCATCGCGAGGAGCTCCCAGGGCTTGAAGGGACGTGCAGGGGTCGGGAGGAGCCCTGTTCCCCTGGCCGGAGCTGAGAGGTGGCATGCCTTCCAGGAGAGACCCATGAGTGCCCCAGCATGTGGGCACCGGGCACAGAGGAGACAGCGATGGCCACTCAGTGTTAACCAGAGAGAAATGCCAGCGCATTCAGTTATGAATAAACACATATACCCCCTCCCTCTCCAGTTGTCCCTCCTGCCTTCGACCTGGAGGGAGGGAGCTAGAGGTGGTGAGAAGCAGCCCACACCCTCCACCCCACGCCAAGCGCAGGAGCCGCAGGCCTGGCCACAGAGCAGAGGGAGAGAACTTAGAGTCAGACAGCAGATTGAAGCCAGGATTGGACTCCACTGTGTTAATAACCAAAAGCCACCAGAAATGCATGGGATCCGACCAACTAGAATTCAGGGAGGGACTTGACATTATCATGGCTGAAAGCAGTTACTGGAGGAAACGAAACCTTTTCACATCTGTCACCAAATGGGTTTGTTTCTTCTCAGGAACATCAGTCATAGCACACAGGTTCCCATGATTGTCACATGCGCTGGATGTATGTTAGCTGTGAAAATTTATCATCAGCCCATGTGACTTCCACTGATCATG